CCTCTAGCCCAATAGTATGTTACATAATAATAAATAAAAAAAACTAAGAAGGAGGGGGGTTCGCAGAAGGAACTTCGTCTGATGACAAACCCGTCTTCGCGTTCCACAGGTTCGAGGCTCCTTTGGTAGATATCCCAATGCTTCTTCAGGAACCTGATGTGTTCTCGAAGACAGCCGGGAATGCGCGCGATAGAATCAAATCCCCTCCTCTCCCAGTTGTGAACGTCCGACTCCAAACGTCGGATCTTCCTTTCTGTTCTAGCAATCCGGTCCTCGAGGTTACGGCGTTTCATTCTGAGGCGTTGCCTTTCGGAGCAGAAGAAAACATATCTTTCCGTGATCTGCAAAGAAAGTTAAACGTCAATCTATTGATCTGACTGTTATGACCTCTCGATTTTCGTGTACATGCACAACAAGACCTACGAAATATAGGTTATTCAAGTATCACTTAACACCTAGTAGGCGAACTTAATTTCGAACTCGAAATTCGAAGACAATCAATAAATGGTATCACACCTTTTTATCTCTTAGGGAAAGCAAACAGTTCTCACTAGAGATTTCCCTAATCGAACACATTTGAAGTATTGCAAAGTGTTCTTATAAGCCGAGCTCTAACCTCGCAACCGAGAGACCGAGGAAAAATTCCAATGTTTTTTCTTTAAAAAAGGCAAGTAGGTCTGATCAGCCTATCTCTCCTATAATCTTAAACCATTTCGGTTAGGAGGACTTTGCAAACCCTGCAGGTAAAATCGATGGTTTCCACCAAAATTAAATATTTCTTCCTAAAGAAATTTTAATTAAATCCCCTTAGGAAATTTATTCAAAATAGTAATAAAAGCCCCCTTGGGCAAAGAAAAACTCAAAAGTAGTAAAACGGCCCCATGGCAACAAGGCAAATTAAAGGCACAATCCCCACATAAGGTGAATGCAATCACCATCATTCATTCATAGGCGAACCGCCTTCTTCTCTTACTTGACTTGAGACAAGAGCACCCCCAACGTCATCCTCTTGAGCCGCGAGAACCACTTCGGGGTTAAGCGAGCTAGCATCGTGAGGAGTTTCGTTCCTCGATTCAACATTGTCTCCCATAATCGAGGAGATGACAAGCCCTTGATCAGAGAGCCCCTGAGCTCGTCCCGGGGAGATTCTGTCAACATTGGTTCTAAACTCATTAAAATGAGCACGAGGAGAACCAGTTAACAGCATCTCATCCTGGGATAGACCAATACTTGGTTCAGTCAGTGGAGGGGAATCAGCGAACTCAGAAGCAAACTGCTGCAAATTCAAATATGGCTGGGGAGCGTTAGCTAGCTTGGCTTCAGTCTCGGCGAGCTCAGCGCCCACTGTCTCCTTCTCTTCAGCCAAATTGATTGATCCTTCCTCTATCTCCTTGATCAGATCGAGGTTGCTTTTCATCTCATCACGTTCGGAGCTGAGTTTGTTCCAAGCTTTGTCTGCAGCGATAAATTCCTGCACAGCAAGAAGAAACTTTTGCCCAGCTCCCTTAATCTCTTTCCGAGCATCATGAGATATTTTGCGAACATCGCGATCTTTCAGTTCGGAAAGAGACTCATTTTTGCGTTCGAGCTCCTCAGCAGCTGCTTTAACCTTGTTAAGCTCTGATCTCAGAAGCTCAATCTCGCCTTTTGCGAAGTTATGTTCAGCAAGGGCAGTCTCTAGCTTTTGCTCTGTCTCAATCAAAGTCTTCCTTGTCTCCTCGCCGGATCTTTTGAGTCTCTCGATCTCTTCCCGGTGAGCCGAGTCGAGGCCAGCAGACTCCTGAACAAGCCGACTGGAAGATTGTAGTTTCTCAATCTCTCCTTCAGAGGCAGCAACTTTCTTGGATACTTTGGCGAGCTCCTCTTCGTAAAAGTTGACAATGCCATTCACATCCAAAGTTGCCTAATAAAAGAAGTTTTTTTTTTTTTTTTTTAAAATTTTCTTTCAAAGTCGGCTGTTTAAGGATGCAAATAGTCAAACCTGGGAAGAATGAAATGAATGACTGATATACATCTTCTTGATATCAGGCTTCCACCAATCAAAGGATGGAAGCTTCTTCCCAGCACGGGTGTGGAAGCACCTAAACATATTCCCGATCTTCTCTTTATCTGGAATAAAGTTAGTTGGGTGAGAATTAAGTTTTCTTTAAAGAGAGAATCTATTAATCTCAAACAACAAAATGATAGTTAAAGGTTACCGGCTTGAGACGAAGCTCTGGCAACCAGTCCTGAGTTCGGAGATGATCGAACCCTAGAAGTATTGCCTCGGGGGCGTCTAGGGGGTAGCATCCCTGAACCCAGTGGTTCCTTCAAAACAGTTCCTGAATCAGGATTTGCATCCTGAGCTTCAGCAGGTTCAGGAATTGGCAGATTCGAAGGAGCGGCTCTGCCCTTCCTTGTGTTCTTGGGACGTCCCTGGGGCAGGGGTCCAAGTTCCTCGGCCTTCCTCTTCTTCATAAGAGAAGTGTCACTTGCAAGGCCTTCCTCCTCAACGGTGGCAGCAACCACATTGTCTGCTGCTGGGATGGAGGGAGAAGCATTGTTCACAGCAACCGCCATTGACTTTGAACCTTCAAGAGATCCATCGTCAACCAGGAGAGTTTTCCGGTAGACCTTGTCGTCTCCGGTGGAAGTTGCATTTTTCTTGTCTCTCCCAACTAGTGAAATCTGATCTTTGATCCTCTTGTTTGCTTCTTTGATCTTTCTCCTATCTCGGGCATTCAGACTCGAGAGATCAATCTCAGCAGGAGGAGGGTCGACAGGGCGAGTAAGTGTCATTCTGACAGAAAACCCGGCGCCGTGAATCCTTTCCAAAGTAAAAGAATTCCAATTAACTGGCCTCTCCAAGACGGCCTTGTAAATATTGAGAAAATCGATGGATGGAACTGGTCGAATCTGAGGACCTGCGAGAAAACAAAGAAATGTTGAAACGCAGTTTGAAATAACAAAGGGAATTTATTCAGTTAAGTCCTAATTTCTACCCAAATTCGATGACCAGTGAATTCGAGGGAGTTCGGAAGAACTCTGAATAGAAAAATTATTTATGCCGAAGAAGAACCAAAACTTCCTCCAGGCGGTGTCCTTTAAAGGCAGGCCGTCAATAAGATTACGATCCGCGTTCGGATAAAGGGCATAATACCCAGAAGTTCGGGATTCGCGAGCTTGGAAAAGTTCCAGGAGTTCGCAAAGTCCCAATGAGTAGCCCACCTCCGCCGCAACAGTGAGGGTGCACAAAAGACACCGAAGCATGTTGGGCGACATCTGGGAGAAAGCAATTCCCAGATGGTTGAGGTAGACGAGAAGCACCTCAGGAAGGGGAAAGAATAAGCCGCACCCTTTGAAATAAATTTCATAGGCACAGCAGTAACCTTCTCGCCCCGATTCTGGAGACTCGAAGGGCTCCGGGACTACCATCTCAACCTCAGGGGGGATGAGACATACTCTACGAAGATCATTGAGAGAATCGATAGTTGATTCACTCTGGGGGTGAAGATCAAACCCATCTCCGGATTGAATCTGGGGTCCGGATCCTTCACCTATGAGAGCTTCGAGATCATCAGCCTCGTATTCACGAAATTCGGAGGAAAGGTTCGACATTTTACAATAAAGGATTTTTTACCGAAAGGAAACAATGACTTCTGTAATAAGAATGAAAGTTCTCTAAGTAAAGAAGATAAGATGGAAAATTGATTTTACCTCTTAGAACCCTAAAGTATGATGGAAAACCTCCTCTAGAATATTGGGAAGTGGGACAGTTTTCCCTGTGGTATTAATATAAAATTAGAAAATTAATGATGACGGTTGTCAGGAATATCAAATCATTTGATTATCCGAGATCAGCGTAATAGCGAAAAACATGGAATAATTCCGGAATGTTAAAGATCTCGAGTCATTAATTACTGCTTACTTAAGTCTTCCAAGCCGAGCACTCAGCTCGCAAGGGGGGGCTAAATGTTGGGGTCGGATCCCACACATATTCGGTAGGATCCACTTGGGTCTGTCCACGTCATTATTACATAATAATCCTCTTGGATTTCTAGATACTTTATTGGACTTAACCAGTTGGGAGTTCGATTCAGTGTACCAAAGGAGTTCGATCTTTACCAGTACGGAGTTCGCTCTTATTCAACATATAGTTCGCATAAAAGAAGGCTGAAGCAAGGAGAATATTGTTCGAGGTTCGCGGCAGCGTCAAGACGCAGGAGTTCGGAGTCAACAAGAAAGAGTTCGGAAGATCCACGCGAAGCCCAAGATAGTTCAAATTCAAGCCGTTTCGGTCAAATTGTAATCTACATGATTAATGCGGATCAATGCGATTGTGAGCAGTAAATGACCGCATTGATCATGTTTTCTCTATAAAAACAACCTCAAACGCATGTGTTTGGGAGCAGAACAACTTTTACCTCTTACGACCAAGCAATACAACATATTCTTTCTTTTACAATTTCGCAAGGCTTTTTACTATTTTATTCTTGCCAAACTCTTTCGCTTTATTTAGTTTCTTGGTTACTTTTCTTTTCAAATCCTTATTTTCATTTGTTGATTTTAGAGTTTTTCTCCACAAAAATACTTAAAGACAATCGAGTGTGAATCCTACATCCACATATCCGATCATGATTAGAAATAGATAATTTATGTATTCAACTTTATTGTTCAAAAAAACTTAATAAAATACAAGGCACTTCAAGATTTAGAAAAATGTAAATTATTATTTAATATTGTAATGTTTTCAAAATTTTCACATTTTTCAAAAAAAGAAAGACAAAAAACAAAGAAAAACATACAAAACATAACACATCATAATTGTAGTATTTTTACTGTAACCAGGCCAATAGTTTTCATCACAAAAATATTCAATGAAAAAGCATTATATGGTTTCCTAGAAAAAAAAATGATATAAAAAGAATTTTACATAAAACCAATTTTAAAATAAAAATAATAATATAATTGTGTACTACATGCAGATCAGAATGGACCACTTGTTTTCCTATGAAGATCTTGAACCGCTTATATTTGCTTTTGCACGATTCCCAAAGGCAGTCCAGGGATTATTTTTATTTTTAAAATCATGTTAAACTTACACTGTGTCAAATCTGCTGAATGGAAAATTAAAAGCGGTATGTCCCGCTTTGCTATTGCTCTGCCATTTGTCCGCTGCTCTATTCACAACATAAAGGCTTCGAATGGAGAAAGCGGATCTAGCGGAGCGGATCAAGCATACCAAGAGGATCAAGTGGAACAAATGCGGATCAAGGGGATCTAGCAGATCTGGCGGAACAAAAGTGGATCACACGGATCTAGCAGTTCAAAATGTATGTTTGAATGGTAAAAGCGGATCAAGTATTGCAGATCAAATATGTAGATAATATAAAACCCTAATATTAAATAAAATATGTTACATAGTACAATTAAAATAAATTATATCAGGAAAAATAATAAAAAGTCGACCAAGATAATTTGATCTATTGTTACTCGATTTATATTATTTAAAAGCACTCCCAAAATATATCTAATAACTACAAAACATAAAAATTTAAAAAATAAATATGGTTTGGATCATTTTAATACTTAGTATTAAAATAAATTATACTAGAAAAAAATAATAAAAATTGTATAAAGATAATTTTGATCTATTGTTACTCGATAATTTCTATTGTTTAAACGTACTCTTGATATATATCTCTTAAATAAAAAACATAAAAAATAACAATACATATGGTTCAGATCAGTTTAATACTTATATATGAATTTTCAGTATTTTAGGTATGATTAAAATATTTTCACCAGAATAATATGTTATCAAATAAAATTCTCAAGATTTGTAATATTATTAAGTAAAAAAAATTGAAAAGTTTTTAATATAGGCCTTGAATGGATCAACGGGAGAAAGACGGGAGAAAGACGGTCGATACGCATAACGGGAGAACAACATTTTTTTCTCCATTCACAAATTTATGAACGTAAATGACTTTTTATTTAAAAAAACAGACAAAAAGAGGATGGACTGCAAATGGATCAAATTTACAAAAGAACGCATTTAACAGTAGGAACGCATCACATTTGATGTGTATCATGTGCAGATCTTAATTTTTATTCACATACTTTATTTTTATTTTTATTTTTATTCCAAAAATACTAAAAATTGTTTGGATTCAATTGTTTTTGTAGACTTAGTAATGTTTGTCTTAAATATACGAGTATACTCCGACTTTTATCTGATCTAGTGAAAGATTGGATTATAATTTTCAGTGTCTAAATAATATTGTTGAAGAATAAAGTAAATATAATTTGATTAAATAATATTGTTGAAGAAAAAAACAATATTATATATTCATTTTTTACATATTTATGTTTGGGATGTAATTAAATATATTAATAATTTTTAAATTGCATAAATATAAAAATCTCATACTCCCTCTGTTCCTAAAAAATTGATTTTCTAGAGATTTTACATATATTAAGAAACAATCAATGTTTAATTATTTACTTTATAAAATATTTCTTAATAAACTATGAATCAATAGTAATCTGAAACAACTAATTATTTTCAATCATTACGTCTTAAATCTATGATTTATTAATATCAATAAAAAATAAATAAAAGAAAAACAAAAAATATCAATCTTTGTGGAACAAACCTAAAACACTAGAACATCAATCTTCTAGGAGCAGAAAAAATATTTTTAAAAAATATAAGGAAGTTTCAATGAAGCAGTGGAACCGCTTTATTATTCATCATTCAACAGAAAAAAAACTGCAAATATTTCTTATATAAATGTTCAAAAATATATTGCATATTTATTTTAATATAAAAATTTTAGTATGAATAGTTTACGAATAATATTTTACTTAAATTAACGCTTTTTATAATATAAATATTTCACCCGCACCGGCTGATATGCTTTTACCATTCAACACATATTTAAAAGCGTTTGAACCGCTTGTTCCGCATTTGTACCGCCAGATCTGCTTGATCCACTTTTGTTCTGCTTGATCCGCTTGATCCGCTTGATCCGCTTGATCCGCTTCGCCCGATACGCTTTCTCCATTCGGAGCAATAAAAGGAAAAAACATGGATGGTCCGTTGGCACACACTCAATTTGCTGTGTACAAGGCTTTAATTGTTAGGACAGAAATTTGGCAGTCCAACGTGTGGGACAGGTGAATTGTATTTAATTTACCAATCAGGGAAAAAAATAGAAAGTGGGCTGTCTGCATGTAGAGAAATTTTTTTTGTCTTTTAGTGATAAAAGCAAGTCAAATTAAAGAATTCTCTCCCATGCGTCAATTGAAGTGGTCCAACAGCAGATCATCAATTTTTAATAAACAAAAAACGAAAATCAAAATAAATATTAGTATCATTCTTCTATAAAAACACAAACACACTCTTTTGTAATTCACCCATTGCATCACATTACAAAAAAGGTGAGTGTCTTGTTCTCTCTCTTTCTTTCTTTTTTACGTTGCTTTTTTTTTTTTAGAATGTCGCTTTATTTATTTATGAATAGTATAAATATCTTTTATAAATTGTTATAATTGTGTAGTTTATATCTCTATCCTAATTTTTGTCTTCAAGGTTTTAAAATATAGAGACTAAAAAAATTAGTAAATCAACTTTATGTATGTCATTTTAGTATAACTCAATTTTTAAATTTTATTTAAATAGATAGATGAGTTTTCTTCTAAAAAAATAATTCCTATAATTTTAAATATTTGCATATTAATAATAAAATTGGTAAAACTATTAATCTAAAAAAATATGTCTTACATGACAGTGTTATAAGAAGTGGTTCAAGTGGAAATAGCAACGTTTAAAATCAAAGGGAGCCTTATCTACAGGTATACATTAATTTTTTTTATCCTAATCTTGTTTTGATGTTTATGTTAAATTTATTGATGTCATTAGTTATGATTATTTATTATTTTTTCATGCAATAATGTCGATTAAAATTTCGTTTATATGCTATAGAATCGTAAGGAACAATATTAGCCAAACAACATATATTTATGTTGACAACATAATATTAGCCAAACAACATATATTTATGTTTATAATTCTGGTAGGGTATTTGAAAAAATAGTACCAAACAATTACTAGTCCTCTGTCTAAGCGTTTAACTTTTTATTTTTATTTGATTTAGTTCATAATTAATATTGCACAACCAAAAAAAAAACGAAAATAAATATACGAAATTATTACAGTTTTGTCGCTTTCTGAAACCTCCTTCTATTGTACTTTTGATTCAACGTGAACTGATGTTAAAAAACGATTTGAAAGAAGGTCCCATGACTATCTTTAATGTAATCGGTTCCAAATTATTACATTTATTTTATTTATTTTTGTAAAGAAAAACGAACTAAGAAAGAAGAGTGAGTCATGTTAAATTTGGACCGTCTATTTTCTTCTCTTACGTACGATAACTCACATGGCCTTTTGATTCTTTTGAAGCAATCAATGACCTCTCTGTCTCTCATTTCCCAGCAATAATACGTTACCAAAATATAGGCCATTCCCATCAACATCAACATGAAATCTCTGGATGAATTTGTTCATTTAGGTCGAGATTTCTCCGTGATTGAACGTTCTTCAAAACTTTTTGAAATAGGAGTTATAAAAACTGTAATAGATATATTGATCTCATGATCCTTTTTATGTAGGTGAACATTACTTTAAAACGATAAATCATATATTTTCAATATATTATATCGTCATATACATAGAGTTCATTTGCATAAATCATAGTCAATCGGTGGCTAAAATGTTCATATAATTTTCCATGAGACCCCACTATTTCAAACTTGTAGCACCTTGTAATTATAGAGTGTGATTGGTGACATGAGTTATTATGTGGTATCATTGTAGTAGGAAGATAACTCAAAAATGTTACCAATCATGATTTGTTTTTAAAAATTTGCATTAGAGGTTGAAGTTTGTTGTGTTATGAATGACTTACATTTTTGAGTTATCTCCTTTGTAAAATTGCTAAATCAAAACTTAACTCAAAAACATGGAAATTCTCATGAGTTAGGATGTGGTAAGTTGAATTATAATTTTTATTTTTTTAAAAAAACGAAAATTAGTTTTAAATTAGAAGAAAATGTCTTAAATTAATTTGAATAATGAGAAAATTTGTTATTATTATCTTAACTTTATTCAATAAAATTTCACAAAAAATAGGTAGTTAAATTTCTTAATTTTCTTAATATCTTTCAATTTTTTAATTTATGTTTTTTATTTTTATTTAATTGTCAAAAACTATTTATAGGATTATATTTAATATTGATGAAATTTTAAATATGCTAGGAAATGTAAGTCATTAGTTTTATAACTATTATGTAACATAAATATTTTTCAAATTAAATATTTTTAGTATTATTTTTTTATATTATATAATTTGTAAGAAATATTATTATTATTATTGATATTTAATTTAATTAGTTTTAATAACATATACTGCAACTTTTAAAGCATAATAGTTACCAGTCACTAGTATTGATCAGACTGATAACTCATATTTCTACAACAAATTATTACATCATTCTACTGTTTATACCACATAATTTTGACTGCAAATTACATCAAATTATAACATCGACTGCAATTCAACCTTAATAACGTGTTACTAGTCGGAGCCATAATGTTTTGAACCCAAACTCGAAACCTAAAACAGAACAACGTGAACTGATGTTTTTTTTCTTGGTGTTGCTCGCTGTGGTTGATAACTGTCTCGCTCCATCGTGATCTTGCTCGTTCAAGTTCGGTGTTATTTGAGAGATTAGGCTTTTCTCCTTGTCCTTGCTTTGCAAATCTGTTATGATTTGATCGCGCTTTGAAGGTTTCTATCTAGACGTTAATGGATGTATCAGTCGTCGTCGTCGCACCCGGAGGTGTATTTGAGTTTCTTGAGTAGTCATGTTTGCCGGGTTATGAAGTTTTTTATTCTGTTAGAAGGAGGTTTTAGAAAGCGACAAAACTGTAATAATTTCGTATATTTATTTTCGTTTTTTTTTTGGTTGTGCAATATTAATTATGAACTAAATCAAATAAAAATAAAAAGTTAAACGCTTAGATAGAGGACTAGTAATTGTTTGGTACTATTTTTTCAAATACCCTACCAGAATTATAAACATAAATATAAACATAAATATATAACAACATAAATATATATGCATCAATCTATTTTTAAAAAAAATATTTATTTTTAACTTTTTAATTTACTACTACATCTTTACTTTGCAATATTCTAGTAAAAGAAGTTTGTTAGTTTAAAGTAATTAAATTTATATTGCTTCTTATAAGTTTATTTAGTATTAGTTTAATTAATATTTTATTTTTAGTATATACTTTAAAATATACTTTTATTTTTTAATATATACTTTTATTTTTAATATATTTTTAATAGATACTTTTATTTTTATATATACTTACAAATAGAATAATTCAAAATTATGATATTTAAAATGATATGCTTTTTATGATGTAGATATGCATAATAATTTCATACATATTAATTTGTAAATTATGTTTGATTGTAGATAACTCTAAATTTCTATCTTTCATTGTTTATATTTCATAAATGTGTAATATTTACATAATATTTTTTTTATTGTCACACAACACATTATTTAGTATATTATTATTTGTTTTAGTATTACTTATATTATTTTTAAAATTGTAGATATGGCGTCGAATAGACGACAAAACATAAATTTTTCAGAAGAAGAAGATCTAAATCTTCCCACAGAAATATCAGCACGGGTATGTTTGTTAGAAATTAATTTTTTTCCTGAATTTTCAAGTAATTAGAATTTAAATAAAAAATAATTAAATTTTTTTATAATTTGTAGAGTGAAGATAATTTTAAATGGACTCCTAACCGAGAAAGAATATTTCTTGAGTTGTACGATCAAGCAATTGCCATGGGCAATTATCGTTTCAAAGATCCTACACCCCTTGGTAGAGAATTTATCGTTGACAAGTTTAACAAGGAGTTTAATCTAAACATAAATTATCGGTTCTTCAAAGAAAAACTTGATCAACTAAAAAGAAAATACAAGAAATACAAGCATCTTATGAAAGATTCCACGGGCATCTCGGTTGATACTACTACATCTGTGATATCGGCATCTAACTCATGGTGGAAAGAGCGTGAAGTAAGTATTTATAATGTCTCTCATAACCAAAATATAATTTAGTAAAATTTAAAAAAGATTTATAAGCTAAAAAATTTATTATCTTATTAACAGGTTTGTAAAATTGTCAAATCATTTAAACGAAAGCCGCCAGAGCTTTGGGATGTGATGCAACGATGTTTTATATTATATGACGTCCACTCGCAGCCTCAATTCTCTGTGAACCAAAGAAGAGAACAGCTGAGGAATGATGGTCTGGATAATGATGAAGGTCATGTATACTTTGAAACATATGATGGTGATATGCAAGACAGTCAAGTTCCTGAGCCACAAGAAAATGAAGAGGTGTATCGTGTTAACATTGATGATGAAACACGTCAGTCAAATGCGTTCATCCGTGAAAGTTTGCATCAGAATTCGTCACCCGTTGCTCCTTTTCAGATTCCTACATCCAGAATTCAACAACGAGGTGGAGTCAGGCGTGGAAGTAGTTCGCAAAGAGGTGCAGGAAACTCCCAAATTTCTACCAGGAGTGGTTCACGAGGAAGCCGTAGAAAACAATCATTTGAAACAACCCTAACAGATACAATAACTGGCTTCAGAGAGTTTCAGCGCCAAAGTTTACAACAGTTGCGCCCGAAACTCATCAAAGTGATTCAGCATCTGAGAACTAGTTCAATAACGCTTGTGTTTTAGTTTCCTTTATGTTTTATTTTGCATTATATTTTTGTAATGTCAGAATGTACTAGTACTGTTGATTTACTTTATTTCTCATTAGTTTATTTTTGTTTCGTGTTTAAAAATTTCAGGCTTTTCGTATATGCCAATTGCGATCACAAGGTGTACACAATCTAAATTATGAAGAGAGAATTGAATTATGGAATTTGGAAAATGAGCAATTTGAAGAGTTAATAATTCAACCGTCATTGAGTTACTACAATCGAAATTTTGAAAGAGGGCCAATTCAAACAGATGGCGGGTTGGGATGGAGAAATATTTGGCGTCGAATACAAGAAGATAGTGCTGCTTGTCTTCAGTTACTACGAATGTCTCTTGATTGTTTTAGATCATTATGTGACGTAATGGAAATACGTTATGGATTACAACCTACATTGAATGTTAGCATTGAAAAGAGTGTTGCCATGTTTTTACGGATATGTGGACACAATGAAGTTCAAAGAGATGTTGGGTTACGATTTGGACGAACGCAAGAAACAGTGAATCGGAAATTTTTTGAAGTCCTTAGAGCGACAGAGTTACTTGCTTGTGATTATATCAAGACTCCAACAAGACAAGAACTACGTCGAATTCCTAAAAAACTACAAAGGGATCGAAGATATTGGCCATATTTCAGTGGATTTGTTGGAGCTATAGATGGAGTTCATGTATGTGTTAAGGTGAAGCCTGAACTACAAGGAATGTATTGGAATCGACACGATAGAACATCGTTTAATATCATGGCAATATGTGATATAAATATGTTGTTTACATATGTTTGGAATGGAGCACCTGGATCGTGTCACGATACAGCAGTTCTAACGATGGCACAAGATCTTTTGCCTCCAAGAGATAAGTATTATGTAGTTGATTCTGGGTATCCAAATAAACAAGGCTTTTTGGCACCTTATAGATCTTCGCGGAACGGAGTTGTTAGGTATCACATGTCACAGTTCTACAATGGTCCTCCTCCTAGGAATAAACAGGAGTTGTTTAATCGATGTCATGCATCTCTACGTTCTGTTATTGAGAGGACATTTGGAGTTTGGAAGAAAAAATGGAGGATTCTTTGTGAATTTCCCAGATATGATATTGATGTTCAAAAAAGAGTGGTAACGGCTACAATGGGACTACATAATTTTATCAGAATTTCGAATTATTTTGATGAGGATTTTGTTGAAGTAATGGGAGATACAAATATCAACAACGTAAATTCTGAGAATGATCTTGATGACATGGAGAGAGGTAGTATACCTGACGGAAATCATATGGCAAATATAAGAGAAAATATTGCTGATATGTTATGGGCAAATCAAAATACTTTCCATTAAATTTAATTTGTTTTTGCTTATATATTGTCTTTTTTCACTCTTATGTGTTGTATTTGGATATTTTATGTTTAATATTTAAAATTATTTAATAGATTAATATATTTTAGTTTTATATGATTTTATTTATACATAGCATAATATATTATAACATTATATAAAATAAAATAAAAAATAAACTAAAAATAAAACTTTATTTTATATATGTATTTTTAATAAAGTTTATAACAATATGTAGTTCTTAATAAATTTTTAGTTATATTGTGTACTATTTATTATTTAATAATTTGATCTGCACATGTTGAACAACTTTCACCATTCGAACTCATATTTGAACTGCTTGATCTGTATGATCTTCACTTGTCCTACATGTTCTGCACTTGTCCTGCATCTTCTGCAAGATCTGCATGATCTGTAACGCTTGAACTGCTTTTACCATTCTAAGCCTCCACTTTCCTTTGTAAAATTGGACTGCATGTGACACTATTTGGAACGCTTTACTATGTTTCATTTTTTTAATAAGAAACACAAGCAGATCAATTTTGATTGTTGAATGGGAACTAAACTGCGTACGTTCCGCTCCGCCAAATGAACTGCTTTTATTCCACGTCTCCATTCAAGCCCAAAGGTTTTGAATGGGTGATGGATAATAGATGGATAAAAAGTGGATGGCACACTTCTCTACATGATCTGCTTTTACTGTATTCAAGTAATTATTATTTGGATACAAAGCAAAATGGGAGAAACTTAAATCGCATGCTTTTTTGTCTTATAGTGTGATAAGTGGGTGAACCACAAACGCTGGAAAAAAAGGTTAATCATCCGTAAGAGATAACACACGGTTCAAGACCAATATTTTATTTATTTTAAAATATCAATGTTTGCCTATATAATAGATTGTAAAGACACATTTTTGTACACACCAAAAATCATATCTTTTATACTCTTTTTTACACAAAAGCTACGATCTGTTACAAAAAAAAAAAAAGTAATTATTCATTTTTGTATTCAAGAAGGTATGTTTCTATTTTATTATTATTTCATACATATAAATTCATTAAAAATAGAATAATTTTATTGATTAATGTATTTATAACTTCAAAAAATTGTATAAAATTATTGAAATTCAAACATATTTATTTATAAGTACAATTTGTGAACTATTAGGATTTTGTTTTGTAATGTAAAATTTCCATGAAATAAATAAAATAATTTAATGTATGTTACATAAAATTTAAAATTAGTTTTGGTTATTTTTATATAAAGTATAAATATAGTAAAATTTTACTTTTATTGATATAACAAAATAATTATTAATGTTTGATATTTTATTAATAGCTAAGTAATATCAAAAATATATATACACAATTACATATACTTTTTTCAAAGAAAACGAACTGTTATATGGTGTAATTTATATTATAATTATGTATGAAAGTAATTATAATTGCCCCTATTATATAAACACAAAAATACATGTTATTATTTGTATTTAAGTGTAAATAATAATTATAAAGAATTTTAAATTGTAGATTATATAAAATCAAAATATAGATATAATTAAAATTTAATATTAACAACACATAATTGCTTTGGTTTCATACTTATTTTATCTACTTAATGACATATTTTCACTATTGTAGATATGAATAACACCGGGGAAGCTGATACAAATTTTCCTACAGAAACATCAACGCGGGTAAATATTCTTATTTGTTTTTCTAAATTTTAGCGTAGTTATAGTTTAGTCTGAAAACCTGAATTACAAGGAATGTATTGGGATCGACATGGTAGAATATCATTCAACATCATGGCAATATATGATTTGAATATGTTGTTCACATATGTTTGGAATGGAGCACCCGGATCTTGTCATGATACGGCAGTTCTCACAATCGCACAAGACAGTGATTCTGAATTTCCTTTGCCTCCAACAGAAAAATATTATGTAGTTGATTCTGGCTATCCAAACAAACAAGGTTTTCTTGCTCCATATAGATCTTCACGAAAGAGGGTTATTCGGTATCATATGGCACAATTTAAAAATGGTCCTTCTAGGAATAAGCAGGAACTGTTTAATCGATGTCATGCATCTTTACGTTCTGTTATTGAGAGGACATTTGGAGTTTGGAAGAAAAAATGGAGAATTCTTTGTGAATTTCCTAGATATAATACTCTTGTGCAAAAGAGAGTGGTAATGGCTACAATGGGACTACATAATTTTATCTGAATTTCAAAATTTTCAGATGACGATTTTGCAGAAGTAATGAGAGAGACAGAGATTACAGACACAAATTCTGAGATTGATCTAGGGGATATGGAAGCTGGAGAAATAGTTGATGGCGATCTTATGGCAAATATCAGGGAAAATATTGTAGATATGTTATGGAAAAATCAAAATAGTAGATACTAATCTTTTTTGGTGTTGTATTTGAATTAGTTTTCTTTTTAACATTTTTATAGTTTTCACAATAAATATGTTTACTGTATTTACAAACAAAATCATAATTAAATATTATATAATATGATCCGCAATATTTGGTCCGCTTTTACCATTCAAACATCTATTTTAAATCGTCAGATCCGCTCGATCCGCAATTGTACCGCCAGATCTGCTTTATCCGCTTTTGTTCTGCTTGATACGCATAATCCGCTTGATCCGCTCCGCCTGGTACGCTTTCTCCATTCGGGGCCAAAAGACAAAATAATTGTGAACCATAAGTGTCTCATACACTTTTTCATATCTTTTTTTTTTTGAATGGCTAATCAATGATGGTTCATACTTCAAAGCAGTTCTTCCACCAATAATATGTTCCTCCATTCAAGGCCATTGTTTTATGCGGTCTTTTTTCATTACAATAACAAAATCATATGCAGTTTTTTGTTTCTAACAAATACGATTTTTAATTGTTTATGCAGTTTTTTTCATTACAAGAACAAAGTCATATACTCATATGTAGTTTTTTTCAACAAATATATACTGATGCAGTGATGTTAAAGAGACGCTTACTCACTAAAGCATCAAGCATCAATGTCAAATGAAAAAAAAAAAAAAAACAGATCTAATGATTTTGAAACTAAATCGAAGAAATTAACAAATGAAAATAGAGAAATAAGAAGAAATTAACTAGGAATCTAAACAGAATTACAAAGAATATAACAAAGAAATAAGAAATCGAAACGAAATCAAATGCAGCTGAAACAAAATAATCAAATGAGTGATTTAATGAAGTAAGCAGGAAATCAGAAAAAAGAAGAAAAACGAATGGTACGTGGGAAAGAGCTCTTGACGGGTCAGATGGAGGAGACGACAATGAGAAATGAATTAGGGTTTCCAGATTGTTAAGATTTGTTGTTATATGCTCGATGCTTCTTAAAAATCGCAAAGGGGGAAGCCGAACAAGGCTAAGGCAAGTAAAGTTTAATGTGTAATAATGTCTCTTTAGCCTTTGGAAACAAACATATATGTATATATCTGATGTAATGTATGTATATAGGTTCGGATCCAAAACCCGAACCCGAACCCGAACCCGAAGTTACAAGAGATGAAGATCCGACAGGTATTAGACGTGGTACTGAAGTACATTTGGATCGGATATTTTGGATCGGATTCGGTTCGGATCTTGGGGTCAGGTATTTTGTCCAGGCCTA